GGAACAGTAGCCAGGCTTCCTTCTCTGATGGCCATAGAAGTCCAGTGCCTGGATAGCTGAACACTATGAACCCAATCCAAGAAACAATTTCCCTAGATCACCCCTCTGGAACATGTTGTCCTGGGACCTTTCTCAAAGCAAAGTCTCACCTTTGCAATTTTGAGGTTGCAAAGGGTGGAATCCTGCTGGTTCTTGTGATGTCCTCAGGCCTTTAAAAAATTGTCCTGTTCTAAAGTACTTGCCTTTTTATTGCTAATATTTTTAGCAACCAAGTTCTCCTTTGTTCCATTTTTTGCAGGTCATGATTTTACCAAAGGTTCCTTTCTGGCCAAACTCAAAACTTTAAAATTATTCTGCTGGGCCATTTGCACTTGATTCTAAAGTTAGAGTTAGCTAAAAGCCCCAACAGTAACCATGTTGGTACCAAGTGATGGATCTGACAGGTGCATTCCAGGCTGTTGTGCATGGCAAGCAATGAACTGTAAATCTACATCCAGTGGTAAAAGAAGAAACAGCCACATTTATTGATGATAACAGGAAGATGTGTTCAGGTGGCACAAAAGGAAAAGTGATGTCAGGATGACAGGAAGTTAAACACACACATAAATTAGGCTTTTGGATTTTAAAAGAGGTACATCTCACCCTGAGTGCCTCTCACTGGGTTTCTGAATTTTTTTTTTGTACCGGGAATTGAACTCAGGACCTTGCACTTGCTAGGCAGGTGCCTATGCCACTGAGCTATATCCCCGGCCCAGGTTTCTGGATAAGACTGATATGAGAAAGAAAACTAAACCAATGCCACTTTGTGTTCTAGTGACATTTTAAAGTTTAAATATCTGTTTCCTTAAATTTGTTTCTTATAAATGTTGTTGTGGTTACTGATAGGTTTTTTGGTGCAGATAAGAATAGAACAAAAATAAAAATGCCTTTATTGTGGGTGCGGAGAAGACCACATCAGAAAGGAGGGATGGGGAGCTTCTGAAGGCATGGCCTAGGGACAAAAGTTAAATAGGGTCAGGCTGGAGGTGGGGTGTAGGGGGTAGACCACCTGATGTGACGGACCAGGATTGGGCAGGAGTGTGGGAAAAGGAAACAGGATATTACAAAAAGGGAAGTAGGAAGTCATAATTTGACTCAGAGGAAGGGTGGGGCTTAGCACATGGCCTCTAGTGGCCTGTGCCATACTGGCTTGGAGCCATACTGGCTCAGCGCCATAGCACATGGCCTCAAGTGGGTGGCACCATAGCGACTCAGCAGGAATTATAGTGAGGTGAGAAACCCATCACTTACCTAACCTGATACCACCCCATGCTCTGTCATAAGACTGTCCCCTATGTAAAGTGTCAAACACCTTTGTTCCTTTGTCATAAGCTAAGCCCATGCTTTGTAGTATTTCTGTAGGTGCACTAAATCATATCAGTATCACCCGCCTAGACCTGGAACTAGAACTGTAGAACTAGTCTTCCCTCCTGCCCTTCAGGGTCTGGTACTTGGTCATGTACTGGGTGCCCAACCCTGACCCCAATAAACTTGCTTGTCTGCAGCCAGCCTCCATAGGTGACTCAATTAAATAAGCGCATTTGCCGCAACAAGATTGACAGGGATGATTGACAGGGTGCTGAGTTATCTCAGGGGCTTCTGACACGCATGTCTGTCCCAGAATTCACTCTGAGTAAGTTACCTACATGAGATGCAGTCCATATGCATAAATATTTAATGAGGTTCAAGTGTGGAAAAGGTTAGTGGAAGTCAGTCCACAAGTGAACTAACAGATGTGCTAATGCACTTGTGCTCTGGCCTGGAGCTATAGAGATTTGCTGCATCATTTGTTATTTTTGTCCCTGCTTCTCTTAGAACAATAGAAGTAGGACTGGCCCTGGAGTTGCCCAAATTCAGGTGGGTGGAGGGGGAGTGGTCTTCCAGCCCCAATTGTGCTACCTGTAGTAATGCCACCATTTCAACGTTAAGACTCCCTTGAAATTTCTTCTGCCAGATTAATTAGTCCACTACACATATCTTCAGTTGCCTGTAATTTCTCAGGAGCAAAATTTAGATACATTTTCTGCCAGATCATAAGACACATGGCCTGGGGTCCAACTGCCAGTGCCGTCCATGGTCCCAGTTGAAACCTCCTGGGCCTGGTCTTTACCAGCTGCCTTAGAAATGGAGTATTACGGTACCTGATATATCAGTATTCTGACCTTCTGATCTCTGACTAGAGTCTCCTATCCAGCTTGGCTTACAGCATCCTGCTGTAAAGGTTGCTTCTCCAGCTGGCCTCTCCCAACTTTCCAAACTCCTTCTGCAAGCCAATTCCAAAGGCTCCTAAACCATGTGGTGAGGTAACAGTCATAGCAACAACCCCACTTCTCTGTTATCAAATTTGTTTTAGTCCTTTTCCTCATTTCTGGGACAAAATTTCCAACACCCACAAGCAAAAGGAGAGGTTTATTTTGACTCAAATTTTTAGAGGTTTCATTCCACAACTGGCTGTTTCTATCTTTTTTTTTTCTTTTTTAGTCTTTTTGAAACAGGGTTTTGCTATGCAGTTTAGGCTGGCTTTGAGCTCACTTTGTAGCCCAGGCTGGCCTCAAATTCACAAAGATCCTCCTGCCTCAGCCTCCCAAGTGCTGGGATTACAGGTGCGTGCCACCATGCCCTGCTGTTTCTATTCTAGACAGCTAAGTTAGATAGAAATATTATAGGCAGTCAGACAGGACGAGGCCCTCAAGAGAGTCAATACAGAAGATAAAAACACATTACAATTGTGGACAGAGGCACATCTGTTGGAAGCCAGGCCTCAAGCTAAAGGTGGAATGACCAGGCCTACACGCCGCCCCGAGGGACAAGTGGTAACACTTGGTCCAAGAAAGTCTAGATAGACATCAGTTACCCCGGTGGATGACCAAGACTCCCAGACTGATCTCTTTCTGAAAAGTTCTTTTTTCCTTCCATGCACACTTGCTATGTGACCTCTTTCCCCATTGGATCAATATTGCCCAAGCAGCTATACTTATAATCTCATTCACTGATCATAGCTTTAGTCCACATTGTACCCACCTTGTGATTTTGCTCTATAAAACTTCCTTACTCAAGTAGGGTCCACAGCAAACCACTTGGTCCCCTCCTGTCTCTGTGAGGAGCTATCTCTCTCAGTAAAATTTCCTACTCTTAACTTCCATTATTCATTAAAAGTCATTCTTTGATTTTGGAGAACACAAACTTGGCATATTGGACAGCTAGCAGGTCCGGAGTTACAATGCTCCACTCACCTTCCTAAAGTCCCACCCATGAACATGTAAGACTTTGAGGGGACATCTTGTAACAGAAAATGCCCCTCCACCCCAGCCAGTATACTTCAGTTTGTTTGTTGCCGAGGTAATAGTTCCTGTTCTGGTTCTGGTTGCCTGTATGTGATCTGAAGGTCCTATTGTAAGGCTGGATTCAGACATAACGTTCCCAATACTCAACCCATCTGCCAGCAGAAGGGTTAGTTAGTTCAGCATGAAACACATGCTGTTTTAAAAGAGATAAGATGGAACATGGACTTTTATAAGCACCTGGACATCTAAAAACACCTAAACATTCACACCAGACACCCCAAGGACTTTGCCCTCTGAATGAAACATTCAGAGAACTTTGACCACTGATGTTTACTAAGATCTACTTGCCTAATGTCCCTTGCCTTCTTTCAAACCCTATAAAAACAGCCTCACTTCTCTTGCTCCCTACAGATGGTTTTTTGCTCTGTCTGCTTGCACCCAGGTACAATAAACTCCATGCCATGTTGTCTTTACACAAGCCCTGTTGTCTCAGCTGATCTCTGCCTTGTGCCATTCTTTCCATCTATATCATTTCCAAGGTGGAGTGGTATGGCTGAGAAGAAACAGTTTGATGTCATGGTAGGCAGGAAGCAGAGAGGGATAAAGAGAAGAAGAGGGACATACACCGTTACCCACAGTGATCCACCTCTTCTCATTGAACTTCACCTTCCAACATTACACCCAGAGATAAACCCATCAGTGAACTAATCCAGTATCACACCACTGAATTAACAGCACACACCAATGGTCCACTCACCTCCCTAAAGTCCCACCCATGAGCGTGTAAGACTTTGGGGGGACATCTTGTAACAGAAAATGCCCCTCCACTCCTGCCAGTATACTTCAGTTTGTTAGTTGCCCAGGTAATAGTTCCTGTTCCAGTTCTGGTTGCTCCTGTCTCCTAGAGACAGCTGGTCACGCTGATGCACATTGTATAAACCCAATTGACAGGCATTCTGCCTCTGTACTTCCTGCTTGCTTGTCTCATATAAACCCTACACCACCAGAGATCAAGGCCTGATATTTTGGGAATGATCCCAATCAGTGCCCATCAACGTCAATAAATCCGCCTCCAAATCCTAGGTGTCCTTTCAGTGTTTCTGCTTGCCATTGCAATCTAGGTATGAACCATAGCCAGGTATGAACTTTCTGTTATCCACTCCAGATTGTATACATTTGCATGTTATTTATGGTCAGTCACTACAAAGATGTTTGAACTTACAAAGTAGTAATCCCAGGTTCTAAACACTATAACAAGAGTTTTAATGGCAAAGTCTCATAGAAACATGGATAATCTTTACCTCATCATTTTTATAATTAAAATAAATTGAATTTCTCATTAACAAAAGAGGGAGGTGTCTATATACTCTTACACTCTACCTATTCTACTGGGTAAACATCTCAAGACATAGAGGTTAATATTAATCCATCATTCTATTTTCAATTTTTGGCTCTTCCTTGCTTAACATGCTTATAACTTTTATATCTCCAGCTTCTACTCAAGCTGATGCTCATCTGTGCTATTATAAAAACAATGTTTTGTATATATTCTTAACAACTCTACATCTGTCTTCTTCATTACAAAACTTCCATTCACAAATTAATGTAATGTCAGATTCTGCCTTAAACCTCTATGACATGCTGACAACAACCCTTATACTCCTCTGTTTTTTTTAGGTCGGTCAGGATGAGACTTCTGATTCTTGGCAGGCAGAGTCAGTGCCCACTTCAGCCGGAAGCATCCAAAGAAGATGAACTGTATTGGAGACCACTACACAGAGGCTCTGAGCAGGATTGAATATTAACCTATTGGCTTTGCATGTTTACTTGTGAGTTGTCTAAAGGTTAGGCACCTTGTCCAAAGATGGGCAGCAGACATAGTAAATGAACCTCTATGAGTCACTGGTCACCCCTGAGGCCTATATTGACCTGTGAATCTGTGACGCCTCAAAGAATGAGATAAGGCCACAGCTGAGGACATTTGGCTCCAACCCCAATTAACTTAAAGGAGACTATAGCTGCAGGCATCTCACTCCTGCTGTGAAGGCCTTCATGGAGATAACATAATTCCCCTAAATTAACGTAAGTATTACTTGGAGAATTCTGTAATGAGTTTCCCAAGTCCTGCTCAGATTCTTGAGTTTTCTTGAGTATCCCCCTTCTTTGTTCATAAACCAAATAAATATGGGCTACCCAGAGAAGTCTTGGTCTAAACCCAGAGAATATCAAATGCTGTAAGAGAGTTAGGCCCTCTTGGAGCCCTGAAACCACTTCAATTGTCTCATTTATTTTAACCTTTGCCATCCACTCCCTTCAAAGATTGTGGGCCTGATCAGCCCGCAATAACTATGGGTTATTTAACCTGATAGGTGCCTTTATACTCCTTAAGAATAAGGGACCAAAACCTCAGGGAAAACACAGGATAGAATAACTAAGGTAGGTAGTAAAGAGACAAGGAAAATCATAATTTTTAGGTTATACTTTTAATAAACCAATTCCAGAGAAAAAGGCTGGGAAGATTGATCTTCATTATCGGTATTGTTAACACTTTCAGTTTACATTTGCTAAGCAAAGCAGTGCCCTAGAGCACAAAGAATGACTAGAAAGTACCTTGGTTTACATTTGACCTCTAGCTCCATCAACTCCTTAAACCACTGATGCTATTTTACCTTTTAAGATATAATAATTTAGTACAGTGCCTGACTCACAGTAAATGTTGAGTTCTTGGTGATAGTTATTTTGTGTTTTGAATTCTTTGTAGAAATTACTTTGAATAATCTGTCAAATCCTCCAGCTTGCTGGGGCCGTCACTAAGTCAGTTAGAGTTTAAACAAAACTGGGCCCTGCCGGACGTGGTGGTGCATGCCTTGTAATCCCAGCACTCGGGAGGCTGAGGTAGGAGTATCATTGCAAGTTTGAGACCAGCCTGGGCTATAAAGTGAGCTCAAAGCCAGCCTGAACTGCATAGTAAGACCGTGTTTCAAAAAGGCAAAAACAAAAAACAAAAAACAACACTAAAAAACAAAAACTGGGCCCTAACCTCTTGCTGGTAATGGGCAAGTCTAAATTCTTCCCTGTGTCCTTCAAGGTTAATTGAGGTTTTGACTAGGGGGTCTAGATCAGTGGTAGGGTATATACTTAGCAGGTAGGAAGCCCTGGGTTTAATTCTCAGCACAAATAAATGAGTAAATAAAACTAAAAGGAAAAAGTAATTGGGGTTTATACCAATCCTGATTATTTCTGATGCCATGCATCAGAAATGAATAAATTAATCCAGATTATGGATCATCTGGTTATCACTCCATGTTCCTTCTCTGTAACTTAGTGGTCATAACTCCAGTTCCTTCACTCCCTCAAAAATCACAGATATAAGGCTGCATGTGATTGATTTTCTCAGATGGTTGGGAGAAGTTATAGGATTTCATCTCATACTTTACAGAGGTTAATGCTAACTGGTGCAAGTCAGATTGTACACCCCCAAATTCATATGTTGAAATCCTAATCCCTAATCCCTAGATAGGATTGGTTTCACCTGGGGTCTCTTGTTGACTAATCCTGTGGACAACTTGATCTTGTACTTGTAGCCTCTAAAATTGTGACCAAGTAAATTTCTTTTGCTTAAGCTACTCAGTCTATATTATTATTTTGTTGTGACAGCCATAGCAAATTCACACACTAACTGATTATATTTTGCTGAGAGGAAATGTGGTGCCCTGTTAAAAAAAAATAAAATGGTTTCTCTTGCTTCTTTCTCCTTACAGGAAAGTATTATGGTTTCTGGGATTGCAAGAGAGCTTAGCAAGGAGCAAGAGCAGTGGGACAGTAGCTTCCATGGCCATGAGGAATATTTTTCTCCTTTTTAAATGCTACAGTTTTAAGAAGAAATACTCCAAAAAAAAAAGAAGAAATACTCCCTTAGTAATGACTTCTGAACCAATATCTAATTTTTTTTTTCAGTACTGGGGATTGAACTCAGGGCCTTGTGGATGATAGGCAAGTGTTCTACCATTGAGCCAGCTACATTCTCAGTTTCTAATAGCTAAATTTAAAACAAAATTTATTCTAGGTATAAAAGCAACATGTACAAGGCACTTTCACATTGCTAATGAGACTGTCTTTAAATGGAGAGCATTTGGCAAGTATATGTCAGAATTATAAATGCATAGCCTCAGCTGGGTATGGTGGATCACTTGAGTCCAGAAGTTTAAGGCCAGACTGGGTGATATATTTACAGAGTCCACCTGTCAGCCTGGTTGAGGGGCCCAAGGAACATTTTCATGAGTGAGGTTCCAAGGTTGAAGAATGGATGTATGCAAGCGATCAGCTACAACAGCAGGTAGCATGGAGCAGAGCAGAGCAGGAAAGCACAAGAACAAGAGCAAGAGCTGCCTGTGTCTTTATTGTATAATGCTTATACAGGTTGTTATCTCATAGTTACATTCTTACATAGGGCTGTAACCAGTGCATGCGTGTTTACCTGTGCTAAGTCATGGTTACATAATTGTATCCCACTGTGCACCTGTGCTAGATAAGCGGGGTCACATCCTCAGGTATCCTCAGATGGCCCTGAGCTTTGAAACAGTCTGAGTGGTTCCCCACACTACTAAAAATATGTATACACTCTTCAGGAAAAGAAAAATAGCATGATGTTTTTTCAACAGATGGTGTTACCCTCTTATGGGGGACCCTAGAGGATGTCATACATTGCAGCATACCCAGTATATTGCTGGCCTTTAGAGAAGAAATTGAAAATGTATGTGCAGCAATTTCATGGTTACCCAAGCAGCAGTTCACTCTACCAATAAATGTCTGAAAGTTAATAGTGACCACTTTGAGCAACTCTTGTAATTGTAGAGACCAAAGGTAACTTGTATTAATCTCATGATTCCCTATAAATTTAGTATTAAAATATTTATACAAGTTTTTAAGTTTTTCTTTTCCTGAAGTATGGCTACGTTTTTTGGTGGACCATATATATATCTATATAGATATATCTATATAGATATATAGATATATATTCTTTTCTTGTCCCCAGTATGGCCTCTCTGGCCCAGATATTTCAATTTTATACTGTTTTTTTAAAATTTTGTAAACATTTATTCTCTTGAACTGAAAAGGGCTTGCATTAGTACACATTGTAAAGCCTTGTAAATTACACAGAAATTGAAAAGAAGGTTCTTTGTTCGTAAGTGCAATGAATCTTAGATGTCCAGTAATCTGCAAACAACGGAAAAAATTTTAAACCACTTAAGAAGTCTCCAGCACTCATCAAATATATTTTGTTAGGTGATAAGAAATCCACAAGGAGGGGAATTCAGATAAGTGACAATTAGTTATCGGAGGGACGCTTAAAAAAAAGTGAGCATATTTTCCTGACTTGGATGACTCCTGTTCCCCTTTGAATTTAAGTAGTTTGATTAAGTGCATTAAGAACATAATTTACTTCACACTTAACATTCATACTACCTAAATGAATAAGGAAGGGATCCTATGGAGGAGTTCTGTATTTTCTGGAAAATGCTTCCATGTTTAGAGATTCAGGGGAAGTCATCTTCTATTTGTGGGCTTTTAGTACCCTCAGCCCTCCAGAAGAATGGTACATGTTTTGTTTTTGTTTTTGTTTCCGGTACTGGGAGTCAAACTCACGACCTTGCGCTTGCCAGGCAGGCGCTGTGCCGCTGAGCTAAATCCCCAGCCCCTGGTACATGGTTTTTGACTTGGTTATTCCATGCCTGCATTCTTTTCCCCCCAAATCCTAAGTTGGCTCACATTGTGCTGACTGCAAAAGGAAATACAGGTTGAAGCTGGTTATAGCAATTTTGAAGAATAACTTGCTGTACAATAGAGCTTTGGATCTGATACAAGAATTCAGAGCTATGAAACAAAATAACTATAAAAGTTAGGAGGCATTTGAACAGCATTTCTTTAGAAAAAGCTGCTGGTTCTGTATCATTCTGGTATGGATTCCTATAATCAGTAGAGTATAACGTGTATCTCTTTTTCCCCCTTTGCTGGATCACTGGCCTTTTCCCAACAGCTCTAACACCATCACCACACATCCTAGGAGTCTCTAAATGTTAACAGGAGCTCCAAATGCCAAACCAATCAGAGAAGGGAGAGGGCAGGAGGATCATAGAGGTAAAGGGTCCAAAGGTGGCTGTGTTACTGAGAACTTGCCCTTTCCAAAATGTGAAAGTCATAGTGCTTCTTGCTTGTTCTCAGCTTAAATGTGTTGACTGAGTTAATTTGTTTCTTCAGTGCATTTTGTGCAGCTGAAATGGAGGGGAATGTGGCTAAGACAGTATACGTGGAGGCCAGGTCATTGGGTCTGGAGCATTCAGGGTTGACCGTGCTGTCCCCACTGCCACAGCAGGGGGCGGGGCGACGCAGCCGGGGCTGCAACTGGGGGTCCGGAGCCATTGGATCCTGGCGCCAATTTTGAAGAGTTCCCCCACAGGTTTCTCGGCTTCCACTCGAGTTCTTCCATCTGGTAGTTCAGTAATTTCCAAGACTTTCCCGGCGACAGCTTTTCCTGCTCCAAGGTCCGTGGATGCGGCTTCCTTAGCTTGTCTCCTTCCTCGGTTCCGTGTCTGCTGCCAGACTGACCCTGTTGGCTTGGAATGTGTCCACGCGTAACCGCAGGAGGGTTGTCCTGCAGTGGCTGACCAAGTGATGGGTACCTGGCGTCTCCCTGCCCAGGGAAGGAAGTTCTAGAAAATTGGGGCATGATGGAAAGTGGTGGTCCAGAGGGACGTATAGTTTTCAGGGTGGATAGCTGAGCTGGTGCCAGTGATTGAGCTGCTGAAATAATGGAACTGCTGAGTTGAGGGTTGTGCTGAACAATATCGTCTACACTGCTAAATTCGACGCACTTCTGCCCTCTCTGGTGGTCACAGTAATATTTATTCTGTTTCCACTGCGTGGGTGAGTGGGCACCAGATTGTAGATTGTTTGGGACATTGAGCTGCAGCATCATTCCTCCACCAGGGGGCGCTGGCGGCACCGCAGCTCGCTGGTGGCCTTGAAGCTGCTGAGAAACGGTGAAGTAACTCGAGGAAACCATACTTTCGATCCTGGATGTAGCAAGTAACCTACTGCAGAGCTTAAATTATTTTGTTGGCCAGGTGAAACGACGCTGTAGTAAAGTGGCGTTCCTGCTGCGGGCATAGATCCTTGATTAGACTGACTAGAGAACACAGCGGGCTGTTGATAAGTCTGATGGGCTGCTCCTAGAGAACCTTGAGGCGGTGAGAGCTGGTATGATGGCACTGAAGGATCGCGGGTGACCACTCCTTGAATCTGATTTCCGGTGCTGCTGGGTTGGCCTCCACCTAGGCTCTGACTCTGGGGCTGCTGAGCTCCAACTATTCCTTGGTAGTTTTGCGGCTGGTTGGGCATAACTTGATAACAAGAAAACGGGCGGAACTGGAGATCGTCACGTAAAGCCAGACTCAGAAAGTCAAAGTTTGCATGCTTTCTCTCACATGTTGAATCTGTCTGCTGTGCAGGCTGTGGCAGTGGTTGGTTTAGATGGGAACTGGAACGGACAGAAGGGATAGGGCGGAACTGAGGCTGACGGGGGTGATAGTGGCCGGGAGCACAGCACCAGGCTGGCATCCGTGGCAAGGGCTGCTGAACGTTTCCCTGCCGCTGGAGCACAAGCTGGCTGACAGCATGACCGGAGGCAGAATAGGTGGCAGTGGGGACTGGCTGCCCAGGCGCGAGGGGAGGAGGAGGAGGAGGTGGCAGAGGAGGTGGAGGAGGGTGTGCTGGAGGCGCTGCGGTCCCAATATAACCAGGCTGCTGTGGAGACGGAAGCACAACAGTAGACTGGAATGTGGCGGCGTGCGGGTCAGAACCACCATGGCTGGCGGGCTGAACTGAGAACCAAGTCAGTCTAATCAGCGATCGTGCTGCTGTGAGAAAATGTGATTAGCTGCTGGTTGCTGAGGTGGTGGGAGTTGCAGAGGTGGCTGTGGAGGTGCAGGCACTTGGGTTCTAACTGGCTTTGAGTCATAGGAGGATTATACACGACTGGACTCCCATCTGGGTTTACGAAGGGCTGACCTGGGTTGATCGGAATACTGCCAGGTGGTATGCCTGCCTCTTCCAAAGGAAGCACAAAGAAGCTAGTGCTAGGGGATGCGACTTGCCCATTCAGGCCACCACTGACGGACGGAGAACTCCGGGTGCTGACAGCCGGACAGAGGACAGGTGTGCCATGCGAAGACTGGCCGAGAGCTGTACCTGGAAGAGGCCGCTGATGAGAAAGAGAGCCAGTAAATGACCCTACACTACCAGAAGACTCAGAACCTGTGTTAGAAAGCCTGCCTATGCTTCTGCTGCTTCCAGAACTCTCCTCTTGTCAGGACTGAGATTCCACTAAAGCTGCTGGCTTTGGTTACAGCAGGCTTCAGATTTCTCGGGGAGCTGTCTCAATCTGTGCTGCTCCGTGGTCGAGGTTCAGAGGATTTCAGCTCATTCTCAGTGCTGCTTTGATGACTATTTGTTGATCTTCCTGAAGCATCTTTACTAACTCTAAATATCGGGCCCCTCTGCTGGGTACTCCTAGCATTCTCATCTTGGATTCTTTTGTCAATAATATAATTCTCTTGAGAACACAGGGAATCTTGGGAAAATATTCGGTCTGTAGCTCTCTGGCACTCTTCTTCCCTTTCTTCTATAGATTTGCTTCTTCTGTCATCTTTCATATCTTTTTTTTTGTATCTGGAATCGAACTCATGACCTCATGCTTGCCAGGCAGGTGCTGTGCCACTCAGTTATTTCCTTGGCTTCTGTCATCTTTCAATCGTATTCTCATCTGGTTATCATCTTTGTCAAAGCTAGGGTTATCTCTCTTAAGGATATATTGTTTCTGAAAATCTTCACCTCTGTCATCTTTAATATATTCCTTAAATTTCTGATCAGCTCTCTTTCTTTTATAGA